ACATACAAAATATACTGAGTTCAAGATATACAAACCATGATTTCTTTAATTAAAAACATCAACTATGCATCATGGGGTTTTTTTCTGTAATTTATATTAAAGCCTCAACTAGAGTTTACTATACAAAACCCTGTTCAAAAATCTGTCGCATTACAGTTGTGTATAAACCAGCAATTTTCTGTATGAGCTGTCTATATCCGTGCTTTTTTTGTCCAATGGTAGCAAAGCAAATTGGAAATCTTGCTGAAAGATGCCATTGTGAATTCTGCAGAGTGATCAAACTAGGTTTGAAATATTGAATCATGATGGCCTCAGATTTTTACTCTTGCTTCACTTGCTGAAAGATATTTCAAAACAATTCTTTAAATAAGAGCAAAGTGATACATGCAGTTGTCCTGTGCATTTCGAAACCCTTTTTTTGAGTCATGAAAAAGTGAGTCATGAAAAATCATAAAAATACATACACTAGGTCAAAATAAAAATTGAGGGGCAGGGCAAAATAAACAAGAACTGTCAGTTGGAATATGAATAATGCTCTAATTGTTTTAAAATTTTAATGAATAATTAAGCAGATTTTGCCGTTTATTGAAAATGTATCTTAAAATTTTCTATCCACATTTTAAATGTTGTATTTTCCTTCGACATGAATGTATTGATATTTTGTTTTGCAAACCCACTGTTCGACGAAGATGAAGATTTAAAATAAATATAAAATTTTATTTTTGACCAGTTAGCTCACCCGCTGCCGTGAATTGGAAATTGATAAAAAAAAATAATGTTTATTCTGTTCTGCAACATTACCGAAAGAAATCTTAATTTGTTCACATAAATAGAAGCATTTAACAGATCAATGCAAATTGTTGTAAATATGAGGGAGTTTTGGTAATAATGATAATAATAACAGTAGCATAGGCCTAGCCTATAAAGACCTGGCCTACCCCTAAAAATTATTTAAAAAATCATATCATGGATTTTACAAAAATAAATAAGTGCGAACACGGCCCAATTTACCACCCTCCAATACTTAAATTATAGGGCAGACTGAGCTTAGCCCTCCTTATAATATCCTCAGTTCTGTCTTTTATTAATAATAGGCCTAGGTCATAGCATGCTTGTTATCCCCTAGCTAGGCTCCTATGCCTAGAGATCCAATCTAATCCAAACCAATCCAATTTTTGACTTAAAAGGCGCATTATACTAAGTCTAATGCGCCAATTTAAACAACATTAAATGAATAATAATAGAAAAACAATTCTTACCTATTAATACTGCTGAAATACTTCAGAAAATATGGTTAAACTGCCTGTTTCATCATCATGAATGTGCACCGAAAAAGAGCTCTAAAACCACTAACAAATTTCAGTTAACTGATAACATCCAAAAGCACCTTGTTAATTTCCATGGCCTTCAGTGATAAACATGGGTAAAGTGACCAATCAAATTAAGTAATTTGAGATTATCTGTGGTTGGCTGAACTGATTAAATGACAACACCTGTTATTGTTAGCTTGTTAAACTTGTGTTTTAAAGTTGTATGTTTTATTATACACCATGATTTAGTATAGGCCTAGACTTTGGCTATGTAATTATATTCTATAAAATTGTTTTATACAGGAACTAGCTTCTATAGAATTCTATAACATTCTATATACACATATTTAATGTAATTTCTATGATCTTAACTTTTTTTTTGTTTCATTCAATTCAATTTCATTTATTGACACATTCATGTCTGACCAGTATAGTCCTATCAACATGTTTACATCTTGCATATTCAGAAATTCTATAGAATTCTCTATAATAAAACTAACTATATAATTTCTATATTTATATAAAAAAATTATAGGCCTTTACCTGTATTTTTTTTAACGTACTATAAACATTTTATAGGGATTAGGCCTATCTCTATAGGAACATATAAAACCTCTATAGAGTATAACACATATGAAATTTGAAAAT